GAGATTCCAGCCTGGGCACTTGTGTGTGTTCTTGGAATCATCACCTAACACCCTCAAGTCTCAGTTTCCTTATCCGCAAAATGGGAATCCTCTGGTCCTCTCCTAAGAGTTATTCAGAGAAAACGAGTTGAGGCTCTTAAGTATTTAGCATAGTGTCCGGCACAAGGGCGGGCCCAGTAACTGCGATCATTAGAACATTATCACTGCCCCCCTAGTCTCACAGCAGACTCAGAAGCCACCTGGCCAGGATCGAACAGGTGCCCGCAGCGCGTGTGTGGCAGAGCTGGAGGACAGGGACAGTGAATCATTGACTGCCCAAGCCCTGAATTATTAATTGGTATTCTCAGACTTCTAAGGAGGGCCCAGGCAGGAGCCCATATATGGAAGGCTCCACGCAGCCTCCGCTGCAAGCGCCTCCCGGGGTTCCGAGTTGCCATGAGTCCCGCAGGCCGCCTGGAGGCTGACACCCGTGCCTGTGCCCAGAGCACAGTCCCCGCGCAGGTCTTCGCTCTGCGGCCTGAAAGCGCTGGCCGCTTCGGGTTCCGCCTTTGCGCGGGTCCTTGACTGCTCCTCTGGGACCCTGGGGAGAGAAATAAACTGGAGCGGACGTCCTCAGAAGATGGGGTGCGTGTGCGGTGCTTGCTGAAGGGCTTCAGCTCCCTGTCGTTCCAAAGGCCGGATGCGCAGCGGGGCCGAGGGGGCCTGAAATCCGGTCCCCGCCGTTTGCTCATCCAAGCGCCCTGCGCACGCCGGCGTCTGGCAGGCTAGCGAGCCGCGGAGCGGGGGCTGCGGCACCAGCCAGGGCGCGGCCGGCTCAGGGGCGAGCCCCGGGTAGGAGGGGCCCGGCTAGGAGCAACGGGCCCGGGCGGGAGGACCCCCGGGCTCTCTGGCTGGGCGGGAGGCCGCGCCCGCCTTCCCCAGCGGCCAGGCTCTGCGGGGCGGGGCGCGGGGCGGGCCCGGGAGGAGCACGGGGAGGAGCCCGAGCTGCGGCGGCCGCCGCGTCAGAGTAGTGCTCCCGCTGCCCGGCGGCTCAGACCCGGCCCGTGCGCTGCCGCGGACGCAGACGGGGACCTGCACGGTCACGGGCGCTGCGCCGGAGGCTCCTCTAGCAGGCGGGGGCTGTGCGACCATGGCGGACAAGGAGGCCGGCGTCAGCGACACGGGGCCCCGAGGTGAGCGCCGGACTGGGGTCCTGCGGCTGCGGCGGAGCGGGCCAGGGAGGGATGAGGCGCACTCGGCCCGGCGCCCTGTCGCACCCTCGCGGGCTGCGGGAAAGTGGGCGCCCCCGTCCCACCTGCCCTAGCGGTTAGGGCCGGGGTCAGCACCGCGGAGGGGCCGGGGCCGGGGGCCAGAGATGGCCCGCCGGTCACGTGCTCCGCTCCTAGCTGGGGTGCAGACACTGCGGCGAGGACTGCTGCCCCTGCCAGGGCACCCCGCCTTCTCCGCCGCGGGGTGGCCCCTCCTGCGGGGCCCGCTGCGAGTCAGGGTGAGAACCGCCCCCCACGTCCATCCCCTGCGGTATGTTAAGGGGACGCCCGCGCTCGCCGGTTAAACTGCGGGCCTCAGGGTAGCCCCGTATCCTCCGCGGCTCGTTTCCGTGACTCAGCGAGGCGGGAGTGGGAGCCGGGGGCAGTCGGAGATGTGGACCTGTTCTCTTACCCGCCGAGGCGGGACGTAACCGCCCGAAGTGGGGGCTGTAGCTCCGGGCCGAACTGCATCCCACTCTCCATCCCCGCCCATCTCCTGGGGTTGTCTGGGCTGAGGAGGAGGAGGGAAGCGGCGGGGGCTCCACTGTCCTCTCTTGCCCAGGCTTGGGGGGGAGGAGGTGGCGCCCAGTGCAGAGGACCCACGCTCGCATTTCGCAAACGTACCAGTGCCGCTTTCTTTGGGAAGCGTGGTTAGGGCTTAGACGGTGGGGGGAGGGCGGTAAGGAGCGGAAGAGGACCGGGGCAGGGTAAGGGGGAGAGGGAGAGGCAGCCCCATGAGCCCAGGGCTATAAATCATGGCTTCGCCGGCAGAGGGGACAGGCTGGCCAGGATTGTGGGTCCCAAGTGGACAAAGTTGGGCGCACGGAGGGTGCCGCGCGTCCCTGACCTGCAGGGCCTTGGCAGGAGCAGCTGCTGGAGGAGAGCGTGGCCCGGCGGCTTCCTCTGGAGCGATAAGGCGAGCTTCCTAGCGAGGATGAAATTAAGATGCCTGGGACGTAAGGGAAATTCAAACAGGAAAGAAGCGCTCGGCTCTGCGGGGACCTCACCAGACCCGGGGAAACTGAGTCAGGTGCCAGCACAACCATCATGAGCAGTGTACTCACAGTCTTGCTGTCTGTGGCCGCGTCCCCCGCCCTCTGCTGCGCTCCGAGCGGCACCTGCCCCCTCCCAAGTCCATTGTTCCTGCGGATCTGGGAGGTGCCTCCCCACACGGCACTGCAGTGGTGGGGGAGTGCTGGGGGGAGGGGGAGATCCTGACATTGCTCACTCTTGGAGGGGACTTGGAGAGCCCAGGCGGTGCCCAAACATAACTGCCCCTCTTCCTAATCTGTCCCCTTCCCCTGCCCTTCCTCAGCTGGCAAACGGGGGCAATGGGCTGGAGGCTGTCTTTGTCTGAACATCATTCAGCAACTGGATTGATTTATCTTTTCCCCACCGTTTTCCTTTAAATTGGAAAAAAAAATTGAGGATGATTCCAGGAGGAATGTCAGAATTGCTAAGAATTGCTGAAGCTTAAGTTAGTGAACCAGTTTCTTGCCTTTCATGCTAGAATAGTGGATGGCTGTATGCAATGCAAGGTTGGCCATAAGATTTGTCAAATCAGAAGAGTGAGCAAGGATGTGCATCAACCTCCTGCCCCCCACCCTCCACACCACTTTGGTAAAATGGAATTCAGCACCCCTACCCTGCTCACGCACATGCACAGGGTAGTTGTACTCTCCTCAGGCTGAGAGAGCTCCCCATCCGGAATGGGCAGACATGCAGGGTGTGCTGGGCCACCTGTCACTGCTTGCCTGTGTCTGTTCTAGAATGTTTCTTCCCTTCCAGTGATCTGCGGTTCAAGGCATATGGTAACAGTTCCAGGTGCGTGGACTTGGGACACAGAGCAGGCTGTCCCTGACAGCTCGCTGCTTCTCTCTGGCCTCCATCCCTTCATCTATAAAATGAGAGATATTAATAGTATCTCATAAGAGCAGAGCCTGCTCACCCACCACTTAGCACATCTATTTCTAAGGTTTCCTCATTGCGTATTCTGTGCTGGGCAATGAACATGCATTAATTTATTTTTTAAAGCCTCACAACAAACCTCTTACCAGCATTGCCCTTTTACTGGGTAGGAAATCTAAACATAGGTTGAATGACCTGTCCAAGGTCACATATCTAGTAAGTATTGATTTAGACCCAGGCCATTGGATTCCAGGGCTCCAGCCCTTCACCACCATCCTGTATAGCCCCTGTGGACCAGTGATTTCTGTTCTATTAGGGACATAAAAATGATTGTTCTTCAGGGGATCATTTCAAGGATTTTACTCAGGTGTCAAACTGTGTTGGGACTTGTGAGCAGTGGGAGTCCCAGGTGGTGGGCTGTGCCAGAAAGGCTGAGCATAAAACTTTTCCCCACAAACAAGTGGACCCCCCGGGGTGGGGAGTGGGGGAGGTGCCCAGGAAACAAGAATGGCAGATTGGTAGTTGTTGAAGCTGGGTGGTGGGTACGTGGAGGTTCATAATTATTCAGTTTTCTTTGTAATGTTTGCAAATTCCCATAATAAGGCCTTTAAATTAGTTAATTTACAAAATCAAAGGGGCTACCCTTTAACCCCTGGGGCTTTGTACCGAAAGACTGAGATGACCTTCAATCCTGCCCCCACCAAGACCTAAATTGATTGACCCTTGGAGCCTAGAAGGATGAGATGAACTGGGGTGGGGGGCTGGGGTGGTTCAGGCTAAGTGTGGGCAGTAGAAACTTAGAATTTGCTCCAGGGGACGGGGAGGGTAAGGAGAGGCCCAGCAGACACAGGTTTTGTCTGGATTGGGGGTACCTCTGGACATGGTGTTTTGGGCTTTGGAGACAAGATTCTTACCATTCTGGCAGATAATCATAATAAAAATAAACATTTTAAACACTGACGTTTATTGAGGACTTGGTTTATGCTGAAATCCGAGAATATGAATTATCTCATTTAGCCGTATCACATTGTTACTGGATGAATGACTCTATGCGGGGGGTGCTTTTACCCTGGTTTCGCTGAAGAGAGTGCTGCCAGGCCAGCGTGGCACGGCTGGAAGTGGGCTGAGTGCGGGTTAGGAGGCGGTCAAGCTGTACAGCCTCTCCTTGCACATGCCAGGCCCTCAGGGAATTGTGTTGAGTGTCTGAATGAATGAGTGCGTGACTAATAGAGTGCGGCTGTCCCACTTCCCTACGGCCACCAGAGTGCAGATCAGCGGGGGAGAGTGCTGGCTGTGGCTCCCAAAGGAGCCAGGAAGAAGTCGAAGCGATGCTCTGGGTATCACTAGTTAGGGCTCTGGCCATGGGACCCTCTTCCTTGTCCACACCTGCTTCTGTAGCTGTGCCCCCTGTCACTGTGGTCCCAGCGTCCCCCATGCATGTTTCCCATACTATGTCTTGTGTTTCCCAGAGCCCTGTCATCTTTGGCCCTCATGCAGTTCCCCCTGCTGGCACATCCTCTCTTTTTCTAGCAAACTCCTACTTATCCTTCAAAACCCATTTCAACTATCACTTCTCAAGAAGCCTTCCTGAACCCATCCATCTAGATGAGATCCCATCTGTGTGATTCCAAAGCCTTCAGTACTAACCACCGGTAATCCCAACTAGCATTCCTTCTGGTTTTATATGTGTGCGTCCCATTGACTCCCCCAATAACTCTAGGAGGTTAGTGTTATTATTACCCAATTTTTTTTGATGAAGCAGTTGAGGCCTTTGAGAACTTTGGTATCTGCCGAGCCAACGAATGCTGGAGTCAGGGTATGAATCAGTCATGGAGCCTAAAAGCTTGTGCTCTTCCTCTCAATGCCTTTTCTCCCAACAAGCCCAGGGACTGTGTCTTTTATTTCCATACTCTGAGGAGGGGCACATAGTAGGTGCTCAATAAATATCCTACTGTGTGTTGAGGGAATCTCAGTCAATATGCTGTGCGAGGGAGCACAGCAGTGGAGAATGACATCCGCATCCTGCCCACTCCACAGGACAGTGGCGCTTCTAGAAGTGTGGATGCTCGGGAGTGGGCGGAAGCTGGAGGGGGAGGTGGGCGGGGCTCAGCCAATCCCTGAAGAGATGTGACTTTGATTCCAACAAGGCTTTGAGTGACGACTCAATCTTGTGGGGGCGAAATGCTCTCTTGTCGCATAAATAGGCCTCTTTGGTAAGGGAGAAAGCTTCTTTATTATCGCTGCACATAATTAGAATGGCAGGGAGGACCCAGGGGTTTAATAAATGAGCAGCATGTGGCAGGGAGTGGCTGCCTCCCACCCTGGGTCTGAGCATCACCAGGAGAGCAGGGTGAGCCAAGGAGATGACCGAGAGAGGCAGGCACTGCTCAGAAACGGCGCTGGCCCCACCTCAGCAGCCTCTGCAAACCATTGCTGCATTCCTTCTACTGCAAATGACTCCCAGGCGATCGAGGTGTGCAGTAGAGGTCCCGGAGGGCTGGAGGAGCAAAGAGGCTTTGGAGCCCAAGCCCTGCTGGTCAACCCCACCCACCGCTTTCCTTGCCTGGTCTGTGAAAGGGATGAATGATGCCTGCTAGGTCTGTTGGGGGAACAGTGGAGACAGCGGATGGGCAGGAAACTATTTTAATTTATCCAGTTCTTTCCTCACAGGAGGAAGGGATGGGGGCCTTCCTGCCTTTACCCCCCAGGTGCCCACAGGGATTGCCATTGCCTGTGTGACATGGTGGCGGATCCAGCTGGTCTGCTTTCTTTGGAGGCTTTAGGAGGAGGGCAGTTCTGCTCTGATTTTTCTGACTTGGGGCAACGTGAGGAGTATGCTCAGGTCCTGATGCATTTAGACCTTCAGTACTCCACCCTGAAGCCAGACTCTGGGAAGAAGCAATGGACTCCTCTTTCCTGGCACACATGAGGTCAGCCCTCCTTGAACACTTTATCCATCTCTGCAGAGTCCACCGGTGGGAAGCAGGAATGCCAGCAGCTGTCATCCAAGGCTGGTCCTGGACTGTGTGGTGTTGGAAGCCACACTTTTTAGCCACTGGACATCCCGGGGGATTAGTTACCACAGCAGTTCTCAATCCTGGCTGCTTGTTAGAAGCTCCTGGAGAGTTTGTTTGTTTGTTTGTTTGTTTGTTTGTTTTAGGTCCTGATGCCCAGGTCTCATCCCAGAACTATTATATCAGGACCTCTGTGAGTGAGGAGCCAAGTTTGAGAATCACTGGATTTCCACCTGCCTGCATTCAGACTTGAGACCTCAGCATGTGGGGGGCGGAGGACAAAGAGCAGAAAACACGGTTTACTCCCTGGTGTGGAACTGTCTGGGTCAGCAAAGCATTTTAAGCACCAGCTCTGTGTTAAATGCTTTGTCTGTACTGTCTCATTTAATCTTCATAACCACTCCATGAAGTGGCTGATTTTACACAAGGGGAAACTGAGGCTGAGGGGAATGAAGTGCATTCCCCAGGGTGACCTAGCTCGTAGGGGAGATGCTATAACAGAGTTCAAGTCTGTCAAGAAAGCCTCCTTAGGTGCATCTTACCCTCAGGGAACTGCTTCTCAATCTTCAGCCCCTCAAGGTTCCCCTTTCTGATTCTACCATATGTGCTGACTACCCAAATTGTGATGTATCGATTATTTTTAAAATGGACCTACTGTTTTTTTTAAAAAAAATGCATTTATGAGTTTTATTTATATCAATTCCATAAATAGAAAACCTGTGTCACTTGCCGTAAACAGAAGGTAACCACAGCCCAAACACATGGAACCCAAAGTTAGTACACGTTAGGCAGATAGAAGGCTTTGTGCTGAGGCTGAGCTGTGGGTACAGAGAGAGACTAGAGAGTTTCAGAGGAGGTCAAAGGCATAGGAGCACTCGACTTTTTCATGGACTCAGACACAAAAGGGGCTTGAACTAGAAGGGAAAAGCTTTAGGAATCACCTGGGAGGAGGTCATTATAATTCCCATTCCCAGACTTTTCTGGAATTAGACCCACCAGGGACGTGGAGCCTGGGGATGTATTTGCAAAGCCCACCAGTGAGTCTTATAATTGGGTGGGACCATGTGAAATGTGACTGCCTGGTCTCTGGCCCACCAGGGGAATAGGGCCCTCCCTCAGGGGGACCCTACACTAGAATATGCGGCTTTGGGTTGGCCAGATGGGGAAGAGAGAATATTCCAGTGTGATTTTACAGGGACAATCAGCTTGGATTCCAATCCTAGTTTCACCACTTACCAGCCATGGCGTTCTGGGCAAGTTACTTAGCTCTCTGACCCCAACCTCAGTTTTCCCCATCTGTAAAGTGGGAAAAATCTTAGTACCCATCCCAGAGTGGATTTTATTTACTCCCATACCCCCTAGTAAGTGCTGAGTGTACTTCCTGGCTCATGGTGAATACTTGCTGTTGTCTGTTATTGTTTATTATTATGAATCCCGTGGTTGGAGACAGGGCAGTTGCCAGAGGCTGCATTTTGTCCAGGAGGCTCAGAAGAGAGAAGGGCTGGCCCAGATTCCACTGCTAGGAAGGGGCAGACCCAGCCTAAGCCTCAGGGTCCGCAGCTCCTTGTCCAGCAGTCCCAGGACTTTGGAGGAGAGCAGGCATTTCAGGATGCTGTCCCTGTTTGGCTTCCGCTTTGTCCTTTGCTGAGGCTCTGAGCTCCATGACGGGTTTCCTGACTGGGGCACCAGTGGGATTCAAGGTCTCTTTGCATCCTTGGGCTCTATCCAGGGCTGCCAAACCTCTGCCCTCAGATGAACTCCCAGTCCACCATCAGACAGGCTACCCGCTGTGCTGACACCCCAGATCTGGAGCTTTGAGATTCTGCTCTGAGCTCTTCCAGGACCCCCCACCCCCCCACCCCTTCCAGCCCTGACTGTGACCTGGCAGCTGTGCATGTCAGGTAGGGCCAATGGCTGCTTCATAGCGCCCCTTCTGGGGAGCTGTGAACTGCAGAGTATGCGCCTAGATTTTAGTCCCATTTAGGGTGGCCATGTGTCCCGGTTTGCTGGGATAGTTCTGGTCTATGCCTCTTGCCCCAGGGAAAGTATTAATAGTGACTCATTTCACTTTCTGAGTATCTCAGTTTGGAAGATAAATTATGTGGTTGCACTACTTATCTCTGTCCTCTTCTCAGCCATCTGGGCCTCAAGTGGGACAAGGGAGGCAGGAAAGGGTGTGTGGTTAAACCTGAACTTTGGCCTCTGACGCTTCTGGGTTCAGAAACATTGCTGTGCCTCAGTTTCTTCTGCTGTAAACAAGGATGACTAATAATCCTGCTCCACTGGGGTGCTGTGATAATTAAGTGAGAGAAAATATTTAAAAGGCTAAGCATGAGCCTGGTACCTAGAAGATGCTCAGTAAGTGGCTGTAACGGATTATTTTCATTGTTGGTTTGATTTGGGAGATGCAGTGGTTAAACATGGAATCTGGAGCCAGACTGCCAAGTTCAGCTCTGAGCTGTGTCATTTACCTGTTCTGTGGTCCTGGCAAATTACTTAACCTCTTAAAGGCACAGTTTTCTCGCCTTTAAAATATAGATTATAGTAGTTTTCTTTGTATGGTTTTTATGAGGATTAAATGAGCTTATATAAGAAAAGCACTTAGAACAGAGCCAGCCACAAAATAGTCACTGAATTAATGTTAGCTATTATTATTAGCTGTTGTTGTTATTATGAATAATAGTTCCAGGTTACATTCTTGTAGGCAGGAGGAATTATCCAGTGTTACTAGTTTCCTACGGCCATCGTAAAAATGATCACAAGTTCAGTGGCATAAAACAACACAAATGTATTATCTTATAGCCTGGAGGTTGGAAGTAATTCCAAGATGGGTCTCACTGGTCTAAAATCACGGTGTTAGCAGAGCTGTGTTCCTTCCTGAGGCTCGAGGGGAGAACCTCCTTCCTCACATTTTCAGCTCTGGAGATCATGTGCATTCCTTGGCTCGTGGCCCCATCTTCCATCTTCAAAGTGCATCACTCCAATCTTTGCTTCCATTGTCACATCTCTCCCCTGATTGCCCCTCCTACCTCCCTTTTATAAAGACCCTTGTATAAGGACCTCTTATTAGGCCCTTTTAGGTAATCCAAGATAATCTCTCCATCTCAAGATCCTTAATGTAGTCACATCTGCAAAATCCCTTTGTCATGTATTCACAGGTTCCAGGGATTAGAACACAGATGTATTTGGGGCAGGGAGGGGTGATAGTCTACCACAGCTGGAAAGATTTAGGAGTGGTAGTTAGAGAGCCTTCGACCTACCCCAGGAGTGGTTTGCATGTTGGGAACTGGTCCTCCTCTGTGCTTTACATCTGTTGGGTCCTTCTTGAACCTGCTGCATGATGCCTTCCTGCAGTTTGGGTTGTCGGTCCACCCTTGGCTTTTAATCAATCGTGGTAGGGTCACTGGAGACACTGCCACTTTGGGGGCTGGAGTAGCCCCTTCTCAGAGGTCTGTGAAATTATTGAGACCTGAATCAAAGGTTTATTGGCTTCCAATTGGGGGAAACTATTGAATTATTAGAGAATTTGTGAAATGTCTACAAAATGTCACATTATATATGCCTTTGCTATGTAACAAATTATCCAAGAATTTAATGGCTTGGCTGCATCGTGTTGGCTCCCGGTTCTGTGGGCAGGTCTCTGCTGGGTTGGTCTTTTGCTGGCCTTGCCTGGGGTCATTAGTGTGCCTGTGGCCATTTTATGGCTCAACTGGGCTGGAGAGTCCACACATTCTTACTCATGGGTCTGAGGGTGGTGCTAGCTGGCGGCTGGGTTCTTTCTCCACATGGCCCTTCATCCTCAAGGAGGCAAGCTCGGGCTCCTGCACGTGGTGGTCTCAGGGC